AAATTGTGTAACCCACGAGGTATCCCAGGTTTGAATCACAATGATTGCTGGTCAATACGAAATCCACACCCGGCTCTCAAAAATCACAGTGCTGACGAAAAATATTCTCACTGGTAGAGAGATCATAGGTTAGAGTCTCCTTGCCTTCAGACTAACAGTGAGAGGTTTTCGGGGTTTTCATTTCCGTGTAATGCAAACACGTGTAAGTTCCATCTAAAAGTCCTTCACGACAGCAAATTTCTCCCAATTCTCGATGCAGGAGTTACCTTGTCTTCTGGAAGGGGTTCAAAGTTACAAGGCTGTGGAGTTGAATATTGGTAGCCGTAAAATCAAAATTCGGTCAGCTGTTTAACAACGGTTACAAAACAAATAAAGAAAAAAATAAACAAAATAAAAAGCAAGGAAAATAAGAGTCTCAGCTCTCGGCTAAGGCTCCTGTACTATCAGAGCTGACCTAACAAGCAATATTGGAGCAGACAAGCTCGCAAGTTAACGCTATGTTAGTATTGTGCTTATGTTAGCTCTTTTCTCCAAAAATAGATGATGAGTCGACTCGTCTAATTCAGGGGCTCTACTCTCGGCTAACTGATAAATACCATTTTTTAAAAATCAGTCTTGACTTATTACCCGTCTTACAATTACCATTTATGTTGCGAATTGCATTAATATACTATAAAAAATTACAGATAAGGAGTTAATAATTTTCTTGAACAGTTTAAATGTTTATTTTTCTTGAACAATATGATACATACTCTAATTTTATTCAGTCCATCCTCCTATATGGCAAGCAACCATATTAGAAATTATGGCTGTGAAGTCACCAAATTTTTATAACTATACATCCTTAATTTTAAATGTTATTTTAAAAACTGATTTCTAAGCCAAATTATTGTTTATAATATATATTAATAAAATCATAAAGGTGTGTTTGGAATTGAGGATTAGGGGCACTAGAGTAAGTGAAATGAATTTCTAATCTATTTTTAAGAAATAATTTAAATTTTCGTAAAAAAAAAAAAAAAAAAAAAAAAAAAAAAACATTATTGTTTTATGCTAAGAGAGAACAATGATTGCGAAGCATTCCTAGGTGTTTTTGAGTGACAGCGAATAGGGACATTTAGTCCCTCATGACTGGATAAAATTGTATTTATATTTTTCTTGAAGTTGAAAAACTACTATTTTAAAATTTTTCAATGCAATATAATGAAAAAATGCTTTATGTTTACCGGCAATATCTTTTGGCAGAATCTTGACGCTATGAAGCACGGAAATGTTATTACACATAGTTGGTGGTTAGTACAAATTAAAAAAAAAAATAATACCTGGCTGTATAGCATTCATGAGCTATTTATGTAAAATAAGTATTAGTGTTGAAAAATTTGCGTGAAATTGAATAAATAATTTATTTTAAATATTTAAATTTTAAAGATTACGTAATGACACTATTTAAAAGAAATTAAAGAACACTTATCACCTAATTATATAATATCACATATAAATGTTTCACGTACGCATTTGGATAAGCAGAAAAACACAGTTATCAGATCAGTTGAAATAAAGATCTAATATGCTCTAGAATTTCTTGAGATTTAATCGCTGTTACTATTTAAATTTTAAATAAAATTCATACATATTCTTAATAACAGCAAATATATCCTTAAAAATAAGTAATTGCTAAAATCATTCTTCTTCCTTGGCAATACAACCTAGAACAAGCAATGGCCTTTCCAGTAAGCTTCCACCATTTCTATTTAACCAGAACCGATCTCGAATTTCTTTTTCTCAGCACTCTGAGCTGCACTTTTTTAGTTTTTTTTTTAACATTGTCGAGTCACCAAGCCTTTTTCTCATAAAACCTCAGGGCTTGCTAGATGTCAGATTGTTTTTTCGATTTCAGGGTTTTCTAATATCTGTAAGTATCCAACTTATCTCATGCAATAAACTTCAATGGTTTTAATAGCGTTGGACTGTTTGAATTACTTCAGATTCATATGCCTGAAAACGAAAATTACACGTAAGAGGCCTGGCCTACCACTTTTTAACTAAAAATCAAATTAAGTCTCATGTCTCAAACTTTCTAATAACCAGAACGCTGATTATTAGAAATTCATTTTTTAAACATTGCGAAACTTTTTCCTACTAAAATCTGAGGGCTTGATAGATCTCATGCTTTGCTGGGCTGGTGTTTCTCAATCGTTGTAGTTGTCCAATTGATCTCAATCGGGCCGGGAGAGCCTGGTTGGTAGGGCACTGGGCCCATGTCCAAGAGGTCGTGGGTTTAATCCCCGCCGGTTTAAGATTCCTCCTGTAGTAAATGGTGACTGATACACGATAAATCTGTAGAGTCACAAAGTCCTCTATGTTCCCATAACAAATCATACCTCAGGGGGTACTGATCCTGGAGTTTCCTTGTCTTCTGGATTGGTTCAAAATTACAAGGCTACGGAGTTGAACATTAGTAGTCGTGAACTCAAAACTGGATCGGCTGTTCAAGGACGGTTATAAAATGAAATTCTTCTCACATAATAAAGGCCGTTGTACCTGCTGAATTACTGTAAGTTGATCTGAAAGTGAAAAAAATATATAAATAAGAGGGCTGGTTTCTCCTACTTTCTTTCACAGAACAAAATAGTTTTTGTAGAATTTTATCAACTTGTTTATTACTTCAAATTCTCATAACTACATTGTTAAAACTAATAAGCCTTCCTTTTTTTTTTTGTTTTTTCTTTAGGTAAACCAAGACCATCCGTGACGTGGTGGCGAGAATACTCTCTGTTAGATGATACTTATTCTTTTATCCCCGGCGATAATCTTGTCAGAAATGAACTGAAAATATCGGAACTAAAGCGACATGATTTACTCGCCGTTCTTACGTGCCAAGCATCCAATAATAATATCACTGTCCCAGCTTCAACAGCCATAACACTGGACTTAAATCGTAAGTATTTATCAGACACATAGATGGAATAAAAATAAAAAAAGAACATTTCTTACATCGCTATGAACTTATTTACAGATAGCGACTCATGTTAGATAGATTATACTGACCATTAATTCTTAATGAAATTTAATATGATATTTGTACTGATTACTAAATGGAAGAAATTAGAAATAATCCAGATTTTAAGTATTTAATTTCCAGGAAAAAAGATAGATACAGTGCGTTTTGCATTTACTACAATAATTATGTTAATTAACATTAAATTTTTGTTGCGTTAATCACACTTAACTAATAGTGAAACCACGCATTGAGTACCAGGAATGTTTTGGGAAAAAAAACAGGGTTTCTGCTCTAGTTAGCGGTTTGAAAAAACAACCAGATTCCAATAGTTTGGTACCACCTTGCTGGGAATAAAAAGGAATATTTTCCCAATTTTAACTATTTATGCCGTTGGACGTGAAATTGGGAACCATTTTGGCCAGCAACTGGCTGTTGCGTGAATAAAAACATCATTTAACGCTTTATCACGCTACACAGGATACACATTATCACCGTATTTGTTTTAAGCCTCATCCTATTGCAAAGTTACTTTACAGTGTATTATCATCGCAAACATGTAAATAAAGCTAAGTTTTACTTGCAAAAATTCATGCAAAATTTTAATCATTGCTGTATGAAATATACAAATTAAAACTTCATTATAGCAACAAATTTCAATGGGGTATTTTAAGATCTATCATGTGAAATTCTCTAATTAAATTATTTAAGAACAACATAAAGTAATTCATTAAAAATTTGAAGTTTGCAAATTGAATTTAATTTCAACAATGTCGTTGAAAGTAGTCAGCAAGGAAATTATTTATTCATTATTTTAGTATCCTACACTCATAGACATTTCCTTCAACAACCCAAGTTATGTTAAATATCCTAGCATGACTGTCACTGATTCATTATTCATTCAAGGCAAATGATGAATGAATATTCTCTAATAATTTATAATACCCAACACGACATAGATTTATGCAACGCTCGTGTGAAACTCAGGTCTACGATATGCGAACAAAATAATGATTCCAGTATATCCCAGTGATTTATAAATATTCAATGCGTTAGGATGAACATTTACTAATAACTTCTAGTTTGCTTTTGAGCAAAATTAAAAGAAAAAAACTTATAGGACGAGATTTATTTGTTAATTGCGATTTTCGAGTAAGTTTTAAAATAATTATTTAAAGTTTTATTCCGTGCATATATGATTAGAATTATCGTTCTCCAGTTATTTACATTTGCGTATTAAGATATTTCGCAACTAATTGCGAAGCATGATTAGTATGATCATGTTTTATTGATACATAGATACTTTATAATTAATAATTGTTTTGAGGCTTATGAGTTGTATGATATTTAACAGCGAATTTCATCTTGTTTATTGATATTGTTATGTTAGTTTTTTCTGTAATTTTCATTTTACAAATCTATTTTTTTTTCATGTAATTCTAATACACTGAAAAAACGTGCACTAAAAAGAGTGAAAAACAAAAGTGACACTTAAATTATAATCTTCCAATAAATGCTGATATCTTAATGGACTGTGACTTTTCATGAAGTATAAACGGACTATAGGGGGCTCTGTAATCGTCACTCTTTACTTGAACTTTTACTATATTCGTCAAAAATGAAGTTAAAGCTATGACCAGGATCACAGGTAATAAATGGGAAAAAATCACATGGANGAAGCGTTATAGTAAAAAAACGAAGACGAATATGGCAAAAAAGAACATATGAAATTATTCCGAAAATATTCAAGTTTTAATTTAAGCAGTTGCCGGTAGATGGCAGTAACATGTACCACTGAAACCAGTTGTAGTAAAGAAAAAAGGCGTTTACAGGCGGAGAGAATTGTGAATAACCTTGTATAAATAAGAGGGATGGTTTCCCCTACTTTCTTTAACAGAACAAAATAGCTTTTGTAGAATTTTATCAACTTGTTTATTTCTTCAAATTCTCATAACTACATTGTTAAAACTAATAAGCCTTCCTTTTTTTATTTTTTCTTTAGGTAAACCAAGACCATCCGTGACGTGGTGGCGAGAATACTCACTGTTAGATGATACTTATTCTTTTATCCCAGGCGATAATCTTGTTAGAAATGAACTGAAAATATCGGAACTAAAACGACATGATTTACTCGCTGTTCTTACGTGCCAAGCATCCAATAACAATATCACTGTCCCAGCTTCAACAGCCATAACACTGGACTTAAATCGTAAGTATTTATCAGATATATACATGTAATAAAAATAAAAAAGAACATTTCTTACATCGCTATGAACTTATTTACAGATAGCGACTCATGTTAGATAGATTATACTGGCCATTAATTGTTAATGAAATTTAATATGATATTTGTACTGTTTACTAAATGGAAGAAATTAGAGATACATAGATGGAATAGAAATGAAAAAAGAACATTTCATACATCGGTATGAACTTATTTACTGACAGCGACTCATGTTAGAAAGATTTTACTGACCATTAATTGTTAATGAAATTTAATATGATATTTGTACTGATTACTAAATGGAAGAAATTAGAGATACATAGATGGAAAAAAAAGAACATTTCTTACATCGCTATGAACTTATTTACAGACAGCGACTCATGTTAGAAAGATTATACTGACCATTAATTGCTAATGAATTTTAATATGATATTTGTACTGATTACTAAATGGAAGAAATTAGAGATACATAGATGGAATAAAAATAAAAAAAGAACATTTCTTACATGGCTATGAACTTATTTACAAATAGCGACTCATGTTAGATAGATCATACTGTCCATTAATTGTTAATGAAATTTAATATGATATTACTAAATGGAAAAAATTAGAAATAAACCAGAAGTTAAGTATGTAATTTCCAGAAAAAATGATAGAGATAGTGTGTTTTGCATTTACTACAATAATTATGTTAATCACCCTTAACTAATGGTGAAAGCACGCATTGAGTACCAGGAAGTTTTGGTTAAAAAACTGGGTTTCTGCTCTAGGTAGCAGCTTAAAAAAACACCCAGCTACCAATCATTGGGTACCACCTTGCTGGAAATGAAAAGTAATTTTCTGGCAATGTTAACATATTACTCTTTTATGCCGTTGGACATGAAATTGGGAACTATTTTGGCCAGCAACTGGCTGTTGTGTGAATAAAAACATCATTTAACGCTTTATCACGTTAAAGCAATACACATTATCACTGTTTCTGTTTCAAGCCTTATCCCATTGCAAAGTTACTTTACCGTGTATTATTATCGCAAACAATCAATATTTTTAAATGTAGATAAAGTTAAGTTTTAATTGCAAACATTCAAGGAAAATTTTAATCATTGCTGTATGAAATATTACAAATTAAAACTTCCTTATGGCAACAAATTTCAATAGGGTATTTTAAGCTCTCTCATGTGAAATTCTCTAATTAAATTATTTAAGTACATCATAAAATAATTCATTAAAAATTTGAAGTTTGCAAATTGAATTTAATTTTAACAATGTCGTTGAAAGTAGTCAGCAAGGAAATTATTTATTCATTATTTTAGTACCCTACACTCATAGACATTTCCTTCAACAACCCAAGTTATGTTAAATATCCTAGAATGACTGTCACTGATTCATTATTCATTCAAGGCAAATGATGAATGAATATTCTCTAATAATTTATAATACCGAACACGACATAGATTTATGCAACGCTCGTGTGAAACTCAGGTCTACGATATGCGAACAAAATAATGATTCCAGTATATCCCAGTGATTTATAAATATTCAATGCGTTAGGATGAACATTTACTAATAACTTCTAGTTTGCTTTTGAGCAAAATTAAGAGAAAAAAAAACTTATAGGACGAGGTTTATTTGTTAATTGTGATTTTCGAGTAAGTTTTAAAATAATTATTTAATGTTTTATTTCGTGCATATATGAGTAGAATTATCGTTCTCCAGTTATTTACATTTGCGTATTAAGATATTTCGTAACTAATTGCAAAGCATGATTAGCATGATCATGTTTTATTGATACATAGATACTTTATAATCATAATTGTTTTAAGGCTTATGAGTTGTATAATATTTAACAGCGAATTCATCTTGTTTATTGATATTGTTATGCCAGTTTTTTCTTTAATTTAATTAATTTTACAAATTTATATATTTTTTTTCATTTAATTCTAATACTCTAAAAAGGAGTAAACTAAAATGACCTTCCAATAAATGCTGATATCTTAATTGACTTTGACTTTTTATAAAGTATAAATGGACTGTAGGGGGGCTCTGTAATCGTCACTCTAAGCTTGAACTATTATTATTCGCCAAAAATGAAGTTAAAGCTATGACCAGGATCACAGGTCTTAAATAAATGGGAAAAAATCACTTGGAATGATATTACGATTAAAATTTTACAAATTTTTTAATCATTTCCTTTTTGATTTTTTATGAATGAGAAGAAATATGTTTATGTATTCATATTTAGTACTAAGACATTTGAAGGAAAAGTATATATTAACAAAATATATTGCGATAAATATAATAACTAATATTAGGCATTACGAAACATTAGAATCCATCAATATCAAAATCTAAGGAATCACCATTAAAGAAGACGTGGTTAAAAGACCTGCTTGATTGCTTGAGGAAATTGTTGAGAGGAAAATTGTTAAATGAGACTGTTTCAAATTTCAACACTGAAAAAGGTGGATCAAAAATACAAAAACTTTTTCAGTTTCCTGAAATAAATAATGTGATTTGCAAAATCATCTTTAAATTACTTCCAGCAAACAGCCTAGTTTAGTGTTTAATCCTTCTCTCTTTTTAAAATGTAATTTATCTGATATTGATTAAATGTTTGCTCTTTCTTCGCTTCGATATTAAAAAGCAACCTAAAAATGTTTATAATTTTCCATCTATTTTATGATCATGATAAAAAAATAGATAGTAAGAGCAGTTATTATTGAGCATCCTGTATACATTTGCGATGACAGCTAAGTCAATATTTAGAGATTAAAAAAATGTAAAGTGGTAATTTTTAAAATAAAAAGCGTTATTCTTCAAACTTTTGAAATATAGATGTATTTGGCACAAATTGCTGCTAAAAATATAGTAACTAAAATAGCAAAATTGTAAAAAAATTTCATAAATTACAAAAAAAAATCATAGTTAAAAAACTTATGTAACGAGCTTAAAAGTAATACGTATGCTTGTTGCAAAACCCTGATATGAAAATTGGCTAATGATCCTGATAGTTCGGATCATATGACGTTTACTATTATGAGGCTCGGATCGCATGACGTTTACTATAATGACGTTCGGATCATATGACGTTTACTATCATGACGTTCAGATTATGTGGTATTTGTGATTATATCGTTTTATTTTGTGATAATATATTTTCAAATTACTTTTTTTACAAATAATATTCTACCTGACATTTTTATACTAAGAATTATGTTGTTAGTTGCATAAAATTTAATTCAACATTCTTTTACAAATAGAAATTTAAAAGATTTTAAAGTAACATTTCATATCAAGTTTGCTTACTGATAAAAATACAAATGCAATATATACAATTCATAACATAAATATATTTTTCATTAAAGTAACTAAACATTGGTTGAAATAGCAAATCACTAAAAAAAATACTGCAATTGACAGTTCAAAATTTATCTTTTTAATTTATAAATTCTCTTAGTTTATGTTCAACAAATATCTTGAAAGTTATTTAATTAATTACTAAACTTAAAATTTGACGCAACATTCTGACGTTTACTTTCATTTGATGCATAAATTTAACATCATAATTAACAGGATTTATAAGTTTTTAATGCTTGTTTTATTTAACATTCTAACTCACTAATTTTAATAATCGATCATTATTGACTTAAAAAAAATCAGAGTCATTTTTAAATTTTCATGCTCACAATTTTAAATTATTATAATTGAGCTTCAAAACTAATTAGCTTGAATACATTTTTTGAGCTGTAAAAATTGCTACATTCTCTTAAAAATATTTTCTTGAAGTACTTTTCATTATGTTTTTTTTTATTTATTTCCATAATTCTGTATTTCTTAACGTAAGACACCTTGTGTGACGAAGATATTAAATTTTTTATAATTATAATATTAATAATTTGCGTTAATTAACTGATTTAATCTTTTCAAAACTTTAAGCTTCTTCATCTTTTCCGTAAAAAAGAAGCAAATCATTTTAATAAAATTGCTTATGAATTTTTCAATGTTTAAGTTTTTTAAATATTCATGAACTTTTTTATTTAAATTAAATACATTATCTGAAACCAGTGTTTTAGGTTAAATTTAAAGCAATACTTTTGTTGAAATCTTTAACAAATTATTTTTTAAATAGATGAAGTTTTAAAATAATTTGTTCGCGCAAACTTTAGTTATATTGTTACGTAACTAAGTTTATTAATTAGCTAAATCTATTAATAAAATATATTAGTCGTCGGAAGAAGTTTTGTTTACCAGACATTTTTTTTAAAAAAAAGTTTGGTATAAATTATTTTAGATGGAACCTTAAGAATCAAGTGTTGAACATTGTCCAAAGTCTCTAGTGGCAGTGGATGTATCCGCGAATACGATTTAAATACCAATTTTTAATTATATTTTTCTTTTTTAAGAAGTGAAATATAATAAAAAAATTTGCTGTGTTTAGCAAGAATTAAAGCCCTCGACCTTATTCAAAGAGGATATAAAAAGCCATTAAAAAATAAGGATATTAGAACTATTTAACTGCTTTAAAAGATACATTTAACCTGGTTTAATTGACATTTATATAATCAACAGCAATTTGTACATAGTGCTCAAAATAAAATACAGAACAGCTTCATAACTTTTTATTTCTTTATTCAGTTCAGTGCTAAAACACAATATTCACTTTTTAACGGCTTCATCTTGAATATTCTAAGTACTTTGTATAGATAATATTTTATGTTTTGATACAAAAGCGTTCTTTATCTGGATAAAAATAATTTTTGTGATCCAGTGTGGTCCTTCTCAGATTGTTTATGTGTAGATCAGTTAGACAGCCAAAACATTAAGAGATAAACATGATTAATTCAATCGAAAATATATTAGAGATCCTATCATCAAATTTCTATGGTATTTTATTGGGTATGCAGCAAGTGCAAAATACGAGATAAAATTTTCTCACAATTTTACAATCCACTGAAATGTGACACAGACAATAGGTGTGTACAGATATTGCTTTGTTATTAAATACATAGCTTTACATTCTGTAAATTTTCTAGAACAACCTATATGATTACATCGAATATACATTACTAAAGAGGGCAAAAATAACTATAAAAAAACTAAAAGAATTGAAGCTTTTTGTCAAAATTCAAGTATTTTATAACCTGTGAGCAATAATATTGCTTTTTTTATTATCGTGCCCAGAATTACCACTCTAATATATTTGTCACTTTCATAATTGAAAAGCTAAATAGAAGCAGGTAGTACGCGGCATTTTTTAAGAAAAAAAAATAAAAGGAGAAAAAAGAAATTGACCTCCTTGTATATATATAATGAGATACTTTAATTATTAATATTAAACTATAAATATTTATAATTAATAATATTTCATTGAGATATTTACTTTATTTTTACATATAATTATCAAGTATGGTAAAAAAAAATTCTTACGGCTTCGTTAGCTTCAAAAAGCCCACAGGAGAAAAAAAATTCGGATTCTGAGAAAAAAAAATGCTTTTAACGACTTGTGTGGCATCAGCTGAGATTCTTCTTCATTGCCAGAAATAACGGGATACGAGATCAGGACTGTATGACAGAAGATCAAAGAGCTTCCAATCAAAAGTCGCAATATACTTTTGCGTCGCCGGGTGTCGCATTGTCCTGGAAAAACAGAGCACCTAGTATGAGAAGGCAGGTCGCTTTTTCCTTACAGCTCTTCCTTCAATGCCAACAGGGAGTAATAGTACCACGTAACATTGAATGTTCAAACCTCTGAAAAGTCCAACAAACTCCGGGACCATACTGAGAATCTCGCTTTCACTTTGCACAGGCACTGCAACAGGGCCATTACCTTGATTATAGTCGAACAATACGCAATGCTGTGTAGGTTATTTATTCTGTCCTGTTTACCTCATTGCTTTTTGACTTTCTGTGGTAATTTATTTTCGCTCTCCACCTTGCATTTTTTTATTTTAAATAAAAATTTATTTTTATGAATTAAAATTTTAAATTTTTGGAGATATCAGTGGATGAATATACTCGTATTAAGTAGCGTTCGGGATTTTGGTAATGGAAACATTTCCATGAGCACTATTCAACAAACAGATGGAAATTGATCTTACTCTTTTTTTTTCTTAGAAAACCTTAGTGAACCTTATAAATCTTAGAAAACTTTTTTTTGTAACAAATTAAAATACCTGAAGTGCGAGATCTGTAAGGTATTTTAAATATTAGGAATTTTTAGTTTCACCTACTCGAAGCTTGCGAGATGAGAAATAAATATAAAAATCAATGTTTCTTTTCTGCTCTGAATGTTTCTTTTCTGCTCTAACTTTAAAGCTAACTTTCTTAAATTTGCTAAATTATCATTTAGAAACTACAACTATTTCGTTCTTTAATAACTTGCAATAGATAAATTACTTTTCACAATTTTCGAGAAAACGTAATTAATTGCAGTATTGCATATAAAGATATGTACTGAATGCAATTCATTAGTCCGATTTTATTAATCTAGTACATATCACATAAATCCACATCTTACAGAAATGGTTTAATCGTAAAAATTTTACTTTTTCAGTGAAACCAGTAGATGTGCGAATAGATCCAAATCGGCAACCTCTCAGCTCAGGCCAAGAATATGAATTTACTTGCATAGCTGCAGGATCAAGGCCACCCGCGATAATAACATGGTGGAAAAGCAACAAGCAACTAAAGAATCCAGACGACAAATCAACACAAGCTGGTGATGTAACGACGAGTATCTTCAGGTTTACTCCAACAGTACAAGATAATAATGTACACTTCTCCTGTAGAGCTCATAATCCGGTGATCCCAGGAAGTGCTGAGTCTGATGGATGGACTTTAGAGATACATTGTAAGTAAATCATTAACATCTTATAGCAAGTTAACTATATATTAACCTCAAGAAGAAGACATAGAGGTCTTATGAGGAGCATTTGTTTCTAACTGGGGGAGTGAAGCATGAGAGGGAATCGCTGATCGTAAGAGCGAAGTAGGTGACGAGCGTTAAACTATTTTATCCTCCCACTGTTTTTCTTAACTTCGTTTGCAATTTCTTTGACCTCTGCAGTTATTAGTAGACCACCACGATTTTGGAGGGTCATCAACGGAGGTTTCTTGCGCTTTGCATAACTCGAAGAGTGCGAGATATTTACTTAGGTTGTTACTTTAGATTCAGCTTTAGAAAAAGGGGGGAAAACATACCACATACCATCTCCAAAAGTGAAGAAGATTTCTTCCCTCGTCCTTGGGTAAAAGGTATCACAAGCCCCTCGGAGGACCCAAACCACTGATGTGACAACTGTACAAATCCCACATACACGTACGTAATCAAGCGATTCGCCATTCAAGCCCAAATTATCAGATATAAAACGAACCTTTCTGAGTATAGCCAACGAACCTTTCTGAGTATAGCCACCCAAGATTGAACAAACGTGATTTCAATACGGTATTCTCGTATAACTTCATGAATTAGTACGTTTGCGTACTTTTTAGTGCGTTCAAACTCAGAGAGGATAGGCCTGGGAAGCACTTCTTTCTCATTCTGACTGTCTTAGAGGATTAGTATCGTTTGTAGAGCTCTTAACGTAATTTTATTTTGAATACGCAACATCACAAAACGAAAGCAATGCTTAAAATTTACTTTACAGATATTGGTCGGAAACCTGCGAAATTATTATTTGTTTGAGTCATATTCAATTCATATTAAATTTTTTTACCAAAAACTTTGATCTCGAAGAATATGCTGTTAATTATGGCAAAAGATTTGCTTGTTTTTTTTCCTAGAATGTTCCAATTTTTTAAACAATAATTTGACTTCAAAATTTATTTTATCTCAAAGGAATTACACTTCAACAACTTACATAAAGTACAACATTTTCACAGTATATCAAGCAAAACATATACTTGTAGTACTATTTTTATGATTACAGATTTTCTACTTTTATTTACACTGTATAATATTTACACGATATTTTTATGTGAGTTTCTATCTGTTCTATTTTTTTTTAGTTATAATTCAATGCGTTAAACTTAAGAAAATACATAAATTTTCGTTTTGATAAGAGAAGAAAAAAGTATTTTCGAAAAGTATTTTTGATTTTGAATCTGAAGATAAAATAAAAATATAAATTAATAATGAAGAAAACTCTTTGGTAATAAAATAACTTAATTTAATAATAACGTAGTAAATATTTATTTTATTTTTCCTTATTTCTATTTTTGCTTAGCTTAAATAATACTAATGTTTTAATCTTAGATTTTGATAAATTTAAGCGAAATATATAAAATAAACTTAGAATTGTGTGACTGCAATGTTTTCAAAATATTAATTACATTTAATATATATTAATTAATGTCCTATTAACCTAATTTAAGAATTATTAATATTAGTTTACGTAAAATTATCGGAGAGAAGACAAATTGGATTTAAAAATCCAAAATTCAAAAATAATGTATTAAGGGTACAATCAAAATAGTGTTTCGAGGTGCTAAAAATTGTCGAATTATAAATTCTTAAGGATTTTTTTGAAGGAAAATAAACGAGTCATAGCTTGATTGCCTTAACCGTTTAAGCAAGTTTGACGAGTATATCTGTCGTAACCCTTCTCTATCCTATATGACGCTTATACTCGTCATATAAAATAAATAATAAGATAAATAAACTATTTTTACTCAAAATTTCAATAAAATACAATAATAATATTGTGTAGTGGTATGTTTCCCTTACATTAACAATACAAATAATGAGTGTTTTATAACGCGGAATAGAAAGTGGCTAACGGCCTGAAACCAATTACATACGTAAGTCGTGACTTACGTATGTAATTGGTTTCAGGCGAACGTGTATCCTCGTAAATAATTGAGTTGAACTTGCGTAAATAATTAGCAGATCCAATAAAATCACTTTACTGTACGAGCCTGAGTCCTAAATAGTTTTGAATTGATCACAAAAATCCAAAACATTCTATCCAAAAGCTCTCACTTTTGAAATGTCTGAAACAGTGCTGAAAGCAAGATGGAAGAAAATAAAAACTGATAGCTAAACAGTTTTATTTATAGCTGGCTTAGATCATGAGTGAAAGAAGCTCTTACTATTTTAATTATTAACTATTCATAACTATTTAAGTTATCTTTGGTAAAAAACCTGTCCTATAATTATATTGTATAATAAAGTTTCGTATAATTAAACAGTCCTTTCCATTTTCTCTAAAGTGTAACTTTTACAATATTAATATAGATGGCACCAATCAAAAATGGACAACCCATAAGAAACTCACCACAAAAGAGAAAAAAAATGCCTCGGATCTTATTATATACTATGTCATAAGAACCATTCTTAAACATCGACTCGGTTGTTCTCTGTTCAGTGAAAGCTGATAGCTGAAGTAAACCTAAATGTTTGCTGTTTATCGCCAATATCACCTCATTCTACACATTCCTCGCTGAGTGGGCATATCCTTTCGTATTGGTCATTAGTCAGATTTGTGTTGTTTGTTATAACCATGGCACCTATCAGCCAAAGTTAATGACGAGTTTCAGGCTGCTTTGCTTGCTTTCGCTATTAGTTCTTAAAGGCTCTTCCAATTGACTTTAAGCACCCTTGCACTTAAGAGTTCTAATTTATGTATTCTAACAGTTTCAGTAACNATATTAAATTTAAAGTTGCAATGCTATCAAATGGACACTTAGCGTACTGTTATTTCTTAAGCTTAATAAAAAAGTATATACTATTAAAAAAATTACGCAAAATTAGCATGTTGAAAAAAAAGAACTCCGCACAAATGTTACGGAAAATAATTTTCTGTCAAATTTGTTGAAAATTTAATATGCTGCAGTTCTAAACATTCTGTGAAAAAAGTTCCCATTGACACAAAGTCCAAAAATGGATAGTTTTCGAGAGATGGAACTTTGAACATTAAGAGATATAGGCAACGGTCACTGTAAGATGCTTGAAGCAAGCAGCATTGGTTTAAGTGAAAGTAAAGAAGTAGCTAGCTGCCCATTTACTGTTGGACTTCATGGCTAGCTACTAGCTTTTTCATTTCTTATTCTAACTTTCAATGCTTAAAAGTAAATTATTAACTCATTTTTTCCAATTTTCTTGGTTAATGTCGTGACAAAATTAGAGAATTGAGAATTTATATGTATGATTACGATATGTATGATTACGATTATGTATGATCTCGGAAACTATCTAGCTTTGGAATTTCGTATCAGGGAAAATATAGAATTAAAATGCTTTGAACTACAACATATTAAATTTCCCGCCAATTTGAAAATTAATATCCATAATATCTGTGTTGGTTCATTTATATGAGTTATGTATTTATTTTAAGAACAGTATTTGAAAGTATTTGAAAGCACTGGTCATAGATGAGCTTAGCAAAGTATGTTTTTAAATTCTTTTTATGCTAACATTTTCGGTAATTCATCAATCTAATGGAATGACTCTACACTATAGATGTTCCTCATGTGTCCTTACAACTTGGAAGCACCTTCAAAAAAGGTGAAATTCAGGAAGGGAACGACGTGTATTTTGAGTGCAATATACACGCCAATCCATGGATAACGGAGGTTAGCTGGTACTTTAAAGGACAAGAGCTCAGAACAAATACTTCTGCTGGAATCGTCATTAGTAATCAGTCCCTTGTACTTCAGAAAGTTCAAAGGACTAATCGTGGACTTTACTATTGCATGGCGACCAATACAGAAGGTACTGGAAGGAGCAACGAGGTATTCCTGAGGATTCGATGTAAGTGTTTTTCTTACTTTATTTTACCGTTTAAATGCGTTATTTATTTAATTTCAGTTTTAAAAAAGTATAATAAGAATAGTGGTAATTGCTTTGTTTGCAAATTTTCAAAAAGAGAAAAATTTATTTCAAATTAATAATTCAATGTGGCTGCATATGTAGTTTTATTATTTAAAAAATATGCTTCTCAAGTGTGTGATTTGCCCTGGAGCAAGCAGTACTACAGTTACTAGCCAGTAAAGCCATAACTCTAGTGTAACATCAACCTAGCCATCCCTATGGAGTAATTAACATTTATTTTTATCAAAAAGTTGGGGTCATTTTTTAACATAAATTATATTATTAACAATGACCGTTAAACTGAACTTAACACTATTTTTTTTGTGCAATGTAAAAAAAATATATTGCTTATTACAAAAAATAAACAATGGCAACAGTAAATCGATCTGATGAAACATTCTCAAATAATACATCATTCTGTAATAAAAAAAAAATTTTAAAAATTTTTGCCAAAATTTAATGTTGACTGTGAATTAAAAATGACTATAGTAAACATCGTGAGCTCATATCAAAAACTGAACAATCAAACCTTATTAATTTAAACCTTATTAAATAAATTTTCAAGTAACTGTCCCTCCTCACATTCAATAAGCTAGCACATAATCTAGCAAATGGGTGTTACAATCGCTGATGAATAACAGATTTAGCTTTCTGTATTTTCCAAGTATACGATCTTTACAATTAAGTTATTGTAACTTCCCTGAATAAAGTTTTACACAGTTGACAACTTACACGATTATCAAGAAAGATTGACTTGATGATGGTAAAATAATAGTTAAAATTGGAAAATATTTCTAAATATTATGCTGTTCAAAATCATCACTAATTGATCGATCTATAATGATGGGTAAAGCATTTTTAGAAGCAGAGAATTATTGACTTCAACATAAATGTTGCTATCATTTAGAATACATTTCCTCATTCACCTAACTGGCTGGCAGATTTGTTATTACATTCTGAGTAAGCTGTAAAGCATTAGTTTTCTGTATTTTTGTTTGCATGTATGCGATTTTAGTTTCTATGTCAGGTATGCAATCTTTATCTCATGTATGCAATTTTTGTTCCATACACGCAATTTTTGTTTCCCTGTTCTAAATAAAAGTAACATGGATATAAAAACCTTATTTTATAAACATTTAATTGATCCCTAACAGATTTAAATAATATTAAATCCTCGTATAAAGTATATATGCATGTGTATTTAATTTATGTAATATATATTATGGCATACATAACTATTCTTACATGAATATATTTTAATAGAAGGGCAAAAAAGTCATCACCAAAAAAAAAGAACAATGGTTTATCTTGAATTTATTAAAAACATTGGAGACACATAAAAACTTGCAACATTTATTAATCCGACCATATATTTCAGACATCCTAACAATTGTCAATTATCCTAAAACAAATATTATAAATTTTTCCCAGCAATAACATTACAAATGACTTTTTTGAACATCGTGTCTTATTATCACAGGAAAAACCAAACCTATCAGTATAAATCAAAAATTGTTTCTTCGCATTTGAACTAAGAATAAGACCTGAAAGTTCATGTGGATCTGAGTATAATCTCAGAATGCTACGGTCATAAATTTCTTTCCCTTAATAGAAACCAATGAGCAGATGGACATTTATTTCCGGTGTCGGGAACTCCTTAATTTATGGTCATCCAATGACATGAATCCCGTGATAAAATAGTTTCTTTTATTCGCAATATTAATCACGGGGGTCTTCTTAATACTTTTCGTCATGTTCCCACTATTTCCAAAAGATGAATAGGGAACAATGGATTATGATGATTGTATTGGAGATTAATTGGAGCAGATCTAATAACGTGGATGGATGATAGATTTAAATACACATTTGTTAGTTTCAAAAGATTTTTGAAGCATCCAACTGCTTTCAACGACTTTTTTTTTCAAAGGTAGACTCAACTATTTTTCTTAATATTTTATGTTTGCAGGGATAATGAGTAATCCTATGGAGTAGGGTTCCTATAATTGTAAATTTAAAGTATGGTTTAAAAATTTATAATTTTTTTTTCAAGAAAGAGCATATTTGAGCTTCAAAGCTACAATTTTGTCAGGTCGAGCCTCAGTGATTCAAGGGTTCGCGCGTACTGAAGTGGCCCAAGTTCGAATTCCAGGGGTGACTGATTGATACTAAGTCTGCTCCCGACTCGCACTGACCACAGTGCTGACATAAATTATGCCTAGTGGTAGGCGTATCATGTTCAAATGCCCTTGCCACTGAGATGACAATGGGATATTTTCAAGGTTTTCCGCTCCATTTAACTCAAATGCGGTTTGTTTCATCAAAAAGTCCTCCACGGAAGTTAATTTGTCCTTATATGCTTGATCCAGGAGTTTTGTCTTCTGGGTTGAGTTCAAAACTACAAGGATACGGAATCAATCTTTGACAGGCGTAAGCTCGGAATCGGGCCGGCTTTTCAGAGTTGGTTTTAAAATGAAATGAAATTAATCCTAATAGCTCTGCAACAATTTGTAATGAATAAATTTTAAAATATTCCTTTTTTCTCAGATAAAAATGTGATTATCTGTTCACTTGGGTTTTAAAATAAAACCTTTAAAAAATATTAAAAAGGCAATGAAATAGAACTAAATGCATTTTTTAATCTTGGATTTTTTAATATTAAGGAAAAATTCTAAATATTCTTACTCAAAACTTGAAATTCACACTTAGATCTTTGCTTTTAGCTCAAAACATCGCAAACGTTATACAAAATATACATGCAAAATTTCAATGATTACTATAATAAATTTTTTAAGGTGTATAAGTGTGATTAAATTTTCTCAAAATCAATGATCTTCAGGAAATCCATTTAAAATGCAAGAAATTCTGAAATGTAAGGAAATTCTGGCAACAAATATATAGATAATTCAAAAATTTATCACCAATAGGTAATTCTACTAGTATTAAAAAATTAGTTTATTCAAATAAGTAAAGCTTCAATTACTCAAAAGTAAAACAAAAAAATATGTCATTTTTCTCGGTAAAACTTGTAGATGATTTCTTTTCGTAAAAAAAAAAAAAAAACTATTTTACAGGGATACTATGTTTGAACAAAAGAAATTTTTCTTTTAATTTGAGTTACTTTGTCATGATATTCATCTTTGCCATTTAAAATGGAAACCATATGTTTACTATATAGGTGCAAAGGAAAAATAATACCATAATTCTGAATAGTATTCACGCGAATGCGTTTTTGCATGGAAGCGAGGAAAGGGTGAAATAATAATAACTTTGAACTTTCAAAATAGAGCACTGTGACGAATGTAATTGACAATACTTACACCAATATACTGATCTAATGTGCTGTCAACTCTGAAAGGGAAAAAATAAAGATGATATGTAAACACTAATAGAAGGTCGAGTGATTTAAAAAAACACTAGTTATTTCAGTATACCAAAAATTTAAAATTCACGATGATGATTTTTAATTGCAATTTTAATAAGAAATATGTTTCTTCTAGATGCACCCGAATGCAAACCTAATCAGAAGAAAATATATGGCGTTGCGCTCTTTGAGACTGTTGGAGTGACTTGTGAACTTGACGCTGATCCTGAGAATATAACATTCAGATGGAGGTTTAACAGTTCTGGAAAGAGTTTGGATCTCGGAAATTTTAAAACTTTTGGATCAAAAAGTACGGTATCTTACAGACCTCATACAGATGATGATTATGGATCTATTGTATGCTGGGGAAGTAACGATGTTGGACGTCAACGTGAGCCTTGTGTGTTTACAATCATTCCGGCTGGTAAGTAGAATGTTGGTTATAAATTACAGTGCGGCTTTGAAGAGATCACCTCCAGACTTAAAGTCTGGGGTTGTCTGTTGCTATGGTAACAAGCAAGAGCACAATTCTAATGGGGGGTAAAATGGAGGAAAGAAGATGTCGATATTTTTAATCACGACGACCTACGTTAAGATTAAGACAAAACTATTCACCCCACTCCCCTATTCGAAGTGACCTTTCTTCGTAACCATAATACCTGCCACGACGCGAGACGGGTGACTGGAGGAATTCTCCTGAAAGCCGCACTATAACTCAAACGAATCTTCTTAGATTTCAAGTGTGGTGGTTTTGAATGCTTGTAAATCATACAGAGATTAATGCTTATTAACCGTATTAGCGCCAGGTAAACGATGAACTGTAATAGCATTACCGTGATTTGATTGTACTTTCTTGTCTTGAACAAGATAGCCACTGAATGGCGCGAGAAAAAGAGCAACGCAGAGGACGCTTGCTGTGCATTTTCATGGACTTACAATTTTAATTTTTTATGTCGTTAAGAACTTTAGCTTGCGTGAAATTGGCTTTTCTTTTATTCTTCTTTGTGTACAATTTGTAAGAGAAAAATCACTTAAATTTCAAAAATATTTATGTGCTTCAAATTGTTTGGTTTCTTGGTGGAAGCAGATTTGCAAACTCTTTTCCGATTACTTAATTTTAAATCTATGCAATTGATAGAATAAGGTGGGTTCACAATGAGCAATCTAAAAGAAATTGCTTCTTCTATGTAAGCGTATTCAGCTAGTTATTTGAAAACCGACCTTCCACATTTGGCAAGGGTTATGCTGAAACTTTATCAGCCGCTATTGAAATTAACCCTTTTGATTTTAATTTTCTCATAATTTAACTACCATTATTTGAGTTTATGCATTAATTAATAAAATACTGAAATTCATGAATATGGCGGAAAACGTTAATACGCGCACTTTTAGATACTTTAACTTTTTTACTTGGTCAATAAAACAAAGAAAGGTTTCTTTTTTCTCTCAGAACAAAATTTGTATTTTTGCGCATGAATGTATGATCGTTAAGGTTGTTTTTTAAACGTTCTATCCTCAAGTGAAATGATTTTTATGCTATTTGTGCAACTGATGCGAGTTTGCGCTAGGTTAAATTTGGCTAATCTTTAGCCAGTGTCCTCGATGTTAATTCTGAGAGTGGCACAAAACGCCAATGTGGAGAAAAGCCACAGTTTTGAGAAAAGGAAAAGAGCTTGTCGTCTATTTTTTAATAATTAACAGCTTAACACCAATGTAGGATTATCTAGGCTCATAAAAATTTTCGAAAAAAGGAAAGAAAGGATAATTAATAGGATAAGGAATGGGAATAAGGAATTGATAATTCTCATCTAGGTGGAAAATTGTTGCCAAATTAGCGATTTTTTTAAAAAAAGAATAACTTCTAAAACACTTTAGTTATTTGCCCGTTCTAAAGCCCGGAATAATTCCTTACATCTAGTTTAAAATTATAACTTTTATTCAAGCGTAAGACAATTAAACTATTCCCTTTTTTTATTTTCCTTGGCAAAGGAACATCAAGAAAACCTTTTTAATAATGTCATTTCGGAAATTTTTGTTCAAAAATTTTGAAACTATACCAAAATTGTCATTTTATTGTAATTAATTAGTTTATCACAAATACTTTTGGAAAATTTAAAAAACAATGAAGATGACTTGTATTCATTGAAAAGCCATGTTGATTTTATGGACTCATTGCACTGTTGATTTTATTGACTCAGCTTATATCCTTCGCCAGATCATCACATTTGTAAATATATTAGAATATTTGGATCATTAATGTCTTTTGTTTAATAATCTGTGATCTCATTTGTTTAATTGTTTTTTGATTAATAATCTGTGATCTCATTTTTAGGGCCACCAGAGCCTCTTCAGAATTGCACAGTTGTAAATTACACTGAGGACTCTTTGCAAGTAGAGTGCATTGAAGGATATAATGGGGGTCTGATGCAAGTATTTCAGTTAGAAGTATATGATGATACCGGAAGAAAACTACATGGCAATTTTACATCATTGCAGCCTCAGTTTTATGTGTCTGGTTTACCCAGTGGCAAACTATTACGATTAGTAGTGTTTGCAAAAAATAATAAAGGAAAAAGTTCTCCGATCGTAATGGCGGCGAATACTCTACAAAAACCAGAAAAACTGACAGGTAATTTTTTTATACAAAAAATATGCGTAAACAATAATTGTAACAGATTCTCACTATAACAGATATAAATTATAATTGTAATTGTAACAGATTCTCAATAATTGTAACAGATTCTCAATGTGAAAACCCTAGTAAGTGTTTCAAATACTTAACATTTTAAGTAGAAAGAAATTGAGTTGTCTTTTTTAATCAACTAAATTTCAAATTTCTTATTTAAAAAATTAAACTTAAGTGCATATTTAGTGTCCTAATAACTTTAAATGTTAAAATTCAGTAGGACTTTTTTATTTTACATACCTGATTAGTAAAAACCATTTTCATCTAATTTTCTTACAATTTTACTTTTAATTTATGAATAAAGTAAACGTAGCTATTCTCATTGTTTACTCTAGTAAATTAATATTTTTATCATATTTGCAATGTTAAGAAATGGTTTGTTTAATGCTTAAAAATTTTCGATTTAATGTATGGTGGTTAAGATTACGGTGGCTAAACAACTAAAATTTGAATTGTCTTTCCTTGATATGTATTGAATAAAATAAATTTTCGCATTTTAGCAACCAACAGTAAATAAATTTGTTGATGACTTCAATAATTTTAACTATTCTTATGCTACACTCTATATAATTTTTATTTACATTTATTTCAGGTATGCAAGGGATGATAATTTTTCGACCTGTTTTGGGGTTACTCATAGGAATTATTATAGCTTTGATACTAGTTGCAGTAGTAATAATTATCTACTTACGAGTAAAGAAGCAAAGAAAAGACAAAGGTAAGTTAGAAAAAAATTTATTCTCTCGCATCGATTTCAAAAAAAAAAAAAAAAAAAATTCCGAAAAAAAAAATTATTTGCTGAAAAGTTGGTTGTTACCAGGTTTAAAAAAACTAACAATTGTTTGAATATTAAAAACATTTATCACAGAATGGAAAAATTTCAGTGCGTACGTTCAATAACTTCAAAGATTTTCACTGAACTAGAATTAACAAATAAGTGACGAAAATGACTATTTCTTGATATTATGTAAACAATAATTTAACTGTTTAAAGAAAATATGAAAGATTACAAAAACAGAGATCGTTTTTATAGAAAACTATTCATAGAAAAATTTTAAAATAGTACACATTTCTTCAAAAACAATTTCATTTCGGATTTATTTGGATTTAAACTCTAATGTTCCCTAGCGTTCTAGGGTAGTTTATGATTTCAGACGAGTCATTTCAGTACGCTGAAGATTTGTAGGCAGTGGTGATTAACACAAAAATAGCTACTTGACAATGATTCGTTAAAATCCATTAACATAGAAAACTGAAAGGGTGCGTAGTATTCACGTTTCATTTAAAAATATATCCCGAGTGATTTTAGAAAACCATAAATATCTAAAATTCTAAAGGATAGGGCACGCTTTGTGCTACTTAGATTAAAGTGCAAAACAATGTAAATAAAGCACAAATCGAAAGCAGAAATGGGCATACTATAGCTTCGGTATCGAAATTATAGTGTGCCCACTTCTGCCCTTCATTTGAACTTTATATTGTTTTTCACTTCAGCCATAAATTCCTTGTATTTTGTAACAGAAGCCTTACTGAAATTTTCCTACCTTAAGAATTATCTTCATTTGGAATAAAATTACATAATAAACAATTAATTAACGTAATGAGTTGCATGAATTAGTTACGATTTATAAAGAAAAATGTCACAAAGTGTAATTTATTTGGGATTATAAAAATATGTATTTTGTTTTGTGTTAGATTTGAATTCTCAATTCTCTTAAAAAGAAATATCTAAAAGTAAAAAAGAAGAAAAAAGTTTTTTGCAGATGTATTTCCTTATAAATATTTTTGAAGCAAAATTAACACACATCAGAAAAAGAAATTTCTAACAAAATTCATAATAAAAAGTGTAAATAACTAAACAGCAAAAGAAATCCACAATCACTGAAGAAAGGCACTATTTCAAAAAGCTGAAAAAAGTTCTAAAAATAACTAATCTGAATTAAATCTGATCTAAAAATAATAAAAATTTATGATGTTTTTTTTATCATATATTTACTATTCCTTCTTCTTTCAGTAACAAAAAGAACTCCTGAAAATCCAGACAAGTAAGTAATTTTATAACTATTAATATTATTAAAAACAGTAATGCCATTGAGGTAAAAATATCAAGTGATAAATAGCGAAATAATTTGTTTTTTGATTATTAAATAATAAAAAATAATTTTTCATTTTAAATCCAACGCAACGTTTAAGTTCTAAAAATTTTGAATAATTTAAAATAGAAATAACAGGATTATATAGAAAGATAGCTACATGATTAAGAAGTTAATTTATATGTTTGAGTCAGCATTAGTACTTAAGTAATTATTATAAAAAAACTTCGCAAATTAATTTCATATAATCACACCTAAGCTGAAATCTAGTTGTGTAAGTACCCAAAATGAAAACAATTTAATAATATTTTTATTTTTTATTCAGGTGCCAAACTCCTCTGAAAAAGGATACAGATGATATAGCTGACAGTGAAGAAAAAGGTCCAGACATTATTCCAGCAAATATAAACACGCGGCAGCATTTTATTGTAAATGGTGAGTATTTATTCATTATTAGAAATACACATTTAGTAACCATTTCATGTACCATGGGAATTTTACGTTTCGAATGATTTTGTTGTGTACTTTACCATCAATGTTTGAAATCTCGCACTATATAAAACGCACTCTATAAAATGCCTAGTCTTTGTAAAATATGCTTAGTATGGAATGATTAACACTTCACACATAGCTTAGGGCAGTCAGTGATCCACAAATAGTGGCTGGCGAGTCCCATGTGATATTTGTGCGATTTGACAACAGCTTGTATTTGGATTAAGTGCTGGGTAGTTGTAATCGTGATTGCCGATCACTAATCGAGACATTCTATAGAACAAATAATGACGAATCGGCTAAATATTCGTGTGAAATATCAATTATTTTACACGCTCTTTAGGAATTCTACAAATTGACTATGATAGTCTACATACATTCTTTATAATGAGTATATATTCATTATGATATTTTACTTTTGTATTTACCGCTCAATAAAATGTCTAGAAATTCTTTTCAGAGGAACAGGTAGGAAATTCTCATACTTTACACTTTGCCTAAAAACGCCGGGCCTTTCTCTTCAAATGACAATCATTTTTCTTCATTTTATAAAATGATGGCATTTTAAGTCATTAGAAGTTTACAATAACAAAAACATAAATATAAAAGAAAATATTCATAAAAATGTTTGCAGGTTGAGATGTACTGCTATAAAAAAGCAATTATACTGTGTACAAGATCAAAAAACAATTCAAAATTGTTTTCAATTGCTGTGCTGCACATAATTGCAGCACTTTCTTATCCATATTATATCAGATTACTTTATATAATTAATTATATTATGCTTCCATAAATGTTCTCATCAGGAAACATTCCACAGTGAGAGACATTTCTAAACAAAGAACAATTTTCCTAAGATAATTACATTAATAATTAATCATAATAATGACATCCTAAGATAAATATATTAACCTATATCAATATTTACCACGAATTGACAGCAACTGATTAAGAACTTATCAAAGCAAGATTTTGGAATTCTAAATCACAATTATACTATCTTTTTACTGCTGAGCATTCTAACAAAAATTATTTCATTACTTCGCAAGAATTTTATGAAAAGTATTTTGAATTCTTCTTTCTTACTGTTATTTTAAAGTATACCATTGTTAGAAAAAATGACTTTCTGAAATTTGTAAATATATTGTTAAATCTATAATTTTGAGAGATTAAGAAACTCTTTCAATTGCTGTTTCTTTTATCTTTGTTGTCAGTTAAACCAAGATACTCATAAAAAAAGAATTAAGTGATTGCATTGCAGTTTATATAAAAAAAATATTTAGAAGCTAGCTATTCTAACAAATCTAGCTTAAAAAAGTTTTTAAAAAATTCAGCTTTGTAATAATAGGCTGCGCATTAATTACTGCATTTTTCAAAATACGACAACAGATCGAAAGAATCCTACTGTCCAAAAAAAAATCTGTTAATTGCCAATAACTTAAACTAGATGCAAAGTTGTATTTTAATAATTGTTGATAAAATTATGTTTAACTTCATATCGAGAACTCTGGTTTTATATTTTTGTGATCATACTATAAAAATGAAATCATTGTTTTCTGCAGAAGATCCAAAGGACCAAGTGTCACCCGCAAAAGCAGCTGGTACTGTGTGTCACTGGGGATCTCCACCAAGAAACCCTTGCCTTGAAAGCATGTCAGTTCAACAATGCGCAGCTTTTAGAAGGGTAAGTTAAGCATTATTTCAATTATCTTAAAAATCCTTAACAATGTTGGTGAACAGAATGCTACTAAGTAGAAAAAATGATATAAAGCACAAATAACGGTACAAAAATGGGTATATCAAAAGCTTCGATTCCATAAACAAGTAACTTCCTCTGTATAAAAACAAAAGCAAGAAAAAAAACAGGAAGAAAAGATATTGTAAGACTGGAAAAAAATGGTACAACTGATTAGACAAGCTATTAAATTTCAAAGTAGACGGATCATACTATTGGTCAAAAATGGCATCACTATATATGGATATAAGGACGATAACGCGGTGCCTCTGGTTCATCAACTTCAGACGTTGAGTTAATCTTTTCTGAAATAAGCTCTAAAATTAAGATTGCAAATCAAAAAATATGGAGGACTCTCTCCAATTTCTGGTATTCAGGGAAAACTCCTGGTAATGTCCTCAAAATATAGAGCTGTTCAGAGCTCATGAGCGGACATATATTGGAGGCTTACATACGTTGAGGGACAGAAATCTTACCGTGTGTGCACCAAGTACACGTGAACACAATCCTCCTCAGAACATCGCCTCCACTTCGTGGGACTTTCGCATGAGGACCTTATAACTGCTCCTGTCGTTGTATAAGACTTTTTGAGGATTCACGACCTCCTGAACATCCTCCAGGACAACCTCCTGGACAAGGTCTAGCTTGTGGCTAGACCATGAGGAATGAGCCACAACAGCAGGGAGATGGTATGTATCGTCTGGCGCTTACTTGACTTAAGAGCACACGTAAAAACGAAATCTGTAGCCTAACTTATTTCATTCCTTTAATATCATTCTTACGTAATATCAGTAATACGTTTGATTACAATGACTTTGACTCTAATAGAAATAATCACAAATTAATTTTATTTTGAACGTTTTCAATATTTAAAAGAAATATTTATTTAGTTGGATGTATTATACATTATAACGTTTGCCGTAGAAACGAAACTCAATACTGTCTGCAGTCACAGTATTTATATTTATTACCAATCAGGTCTTATAAATACTTAATCCCTGCAGTACCGTTATTGTTTTTTTTTCTTTGCCATTAGTGCATTTCGAAATTCAATAAATTGCCTGACTGTTTTCTAATAAACAGCCATATCTCTTATTTAACTATTTTTTTGTTGGAAATATTAGGCTAAAATCAGATACGAAAATAATTGTAATTATCTTGAGACAGTAATAAAATCAATAATAAATTATTATATAGAAAAAAAAACTATCTTGATTTAAGGCAAAATTATCATTAATTTTCCAAAATCGTGGATATATACCATCTCCTTTCCCCACAAGTAGTGATGTCATTCTTGACCAATAGCTTGATCCAACCACTTTGAAATTTATTTAACTGATTTTACTCAAATTCTATATTTTAAAATGCAAAATTATATGTTCATGAAAATTATGCAAAAAAATCTATACAACTACAATTCAAAATTGTTTTGACCATTATTCTATACAAAAAAGGACTTACAGTAAATATTTGTTATTTTTTATTATTTTATTTAAAAAAGTTAGGAAAAACAACTTTTATAATCTTGTGCATGCTTAAAAAGTGCTCGAGATGTAGTGAAATGTGCAAAAAAGGTGAAATTAACATTAGGGGTGCAAACTTTGAAGCGCTCTCCTAACCAAACTATTTGGGCAATATTTTCCAGTTACCGACTATATTTTGAGTTACCGACTATATTTTGAGCGTCAGAAATCCGAATTCGCGGATCAAAGGTATGCTTATTTAGAGAAAGTACGTTTCTGTGTCTGATTTCGTTACTTAAAATATTGTCTGCTCTAACTAATTAGCATATATGAGAACACTCTCCCCCTTGAGCCGTTACGCCCTATAACGTGAAAATTTTATCATTAGATCAAAAAGTATTTAGGGTAATCCGTTTTTTGTCCTTTTTTTTAGCACTGTACATTAATAAAGTCTATATCCAAACAGATATTTATAGGGATTAACTCACTTCCTGGCCCACCTGGACAGAAGAATAAAACGAAAGGGAGAGAAAAAAGTAATCCGCCGTAATAAACCACTAGCCAGTTTAACTACCATGTTTAGATATGTTTTGAAATGCGTGACGTTGCGTACCATTTGCTGCACCCAGAAGAACATTAGTGTTAATATTACTGAAGGTTTCAATGACGGTAGCCTATAACTCTGCCAAAACTGAAGCTTTTCCGTTTTCTTTGGAGTCTAGGTCATGAAAAAGGACAGATCATTTATAACCTACGCCTTATTATCCAGAAGTACCACTATCAAGAGTTTGCATTGTAAAAGAAGACATTGTCATACTGGTTGTTGCTGTTGTAGTTCATTTACGTCGCACTAGAGCTGCACAATGGGCAACTGGCGACGGTCTCGGAATCATCCCTGAGGATGATCCGAAGACATGCCGTCACAATTTTGATCCTCTGCAGAGGGATTGGCACCCCCGCTTCGGTAGCCCGACGACCTGCACTCGAAATCGAGCATTTTACGGTATAACAGTTTAACGAGGACCAATACCGCACACCCTCGGTCCCTACACAGACTATTCCAAGTGGTCACCCTCCCGCAGTGCTTCGCTGGGATGCTGCTGCTGGGAGCCGTGTCTTAACGATGAGTCCACTGCGGGACCAATGTCATACTGGAAACATTTACTAGGACTAATTAAAGATCACAGGGGAAGAACGGTTTATGCCCATAAAAGCTGGTTCGGAGAGAAAATGGTTTTGCGGGGAACGGAAAGGTTTCTCCAGAGTACGACTTATCTTCTATGTAATAAATCTCGGGTGGAACTAATTTTTCCCTTTATTGACTTGCCAAAACTTGATGAACCTCAAAATGCAATAAATGATCACTTTATTAAAAATTGGGAATAAACAGTTCTGTCCCATTGATCTTCATCTATTATCCCTGCAAATGTCAACAAATGGGTCTCTTGCATTTTTTGGTAAGGAATAGCCATCATGACAAGGCTTGCAAAATAACTAAAGAAGAGGCTAGGCTAAGTTTTTCACTAAAGTAGAAAACTTAGCAGCTGAAATATTAGTAACTCTACATATGCTAGTCAGTTTGTAAAATAACTGTCTATAACTAAAATAATTATTAAGTATTATTTAGTAAAATAATTTGTTAATAAGTTGTATTAATAAATGCTGATACCCTTGGTAAATACAATTGCATGATTTCAATGTCTTCAAGAGATATATTTTGAAAGCATCGATTTAAAGGCCATTTTTCCAGACTCAAATTACTCATAAAATTCGAATATATACAATCTATGTATATATGGTGTCCGTAAATATTGCGGCAAACTTCTAGAGTGAGTAGGGCAGATCATAAAGATTAAGAATTACCTAAGAAACCATGACCGGAAATGTTATCGTTTGCAGTTGAGGGCGTTTTGCTATCATGTACTGTTACATCGTGCACCTTTGAACATCACATACTTTTATTTATCTAAATTAACCTTTTTTCCATTAATTATTGCCAAAACCTGTTTTTAAATAGGTACCATTTAAAGGTATCGTAGTTTAATAGGTATAGTATTAGTTGTTTTATTGTAGCTCAATGATTTGGTGACTAACTGGATAATGACATAGGGGCTAGAGTGTTCGCCTACCATTGAGGTGAATGGGTTTGAATCCCAGCGATGGCTCTCAACGCGAATTCCGCGCCCGCCTTGCACCGACCACATTGCTAACGTAAAATAAACTCAGTGGTAGACGGATCGTGGTTTAGAGTCCCCTTGCCTTCAGGCTTACCATGGGAGATTTTCGTGGTTTTCCTCTCCATGTTAAAAAATGCGGGTTAGTTGCATCAAAAGTCCTCCACGATGGCAAATTTCTCCCTATACTTTATCCAGGAATTCCCTTGTCTTCTGTAATAGATTCAAAATTAGAAGGTTACGGACTTGAACAGTAGTAGTCGTAAACACAAAATTAAGTAAGCAGTTCAACGACGGTCATTAAATAAAATAGTAACGCAAATTTAACATGAAATTGAAATATTTTAGAAAAATGAAAGCACGAGTTCAAAGGCACACGAACAATAAATCCGTAACAGCAAACGCTCTTAGCAGCGTAAGATGACATTTCCGTTCATGGTTTCCTAGGTAATACTTAATCTTTATGATGTGCGCAACTTTCCCTAGCAGTGCCGACCGGCCTGTGTAGGGGTCAGGGAACTGGCCTTGCATCAGAAAGGTCCTGGCTTGGAATCCCGGGCTAGGCATGGATGTTCTTTCCATCTCTGTCCTATCTGTTCTTACTGTGGGAGCAACGTTGGCCCACCGAATATGGTGCCCCTGAAAGAGTGGCCAACAAATCTGCCCTTCAGATGCCTGTATGACGAAAGGTCATTCTCCAGGTGGGTATTTGAAAAAAAAATAGTGCGTGGAGTCCCTCTGCGCGGAAGAAGTTAAACTTCGCAACCTGCGACGTTAATTGTAGAAGAATCAGCAGTCGTAGAAGGATCACTAGTTGTATTCAACGACTCTTTTTCCTGCTCCGCTCGCTTCCGTGCTCTGTAATATTGAGCATTTTTTCCTCGCGAACCTCTTGAACCAGTGGAAGTGCTTGTGGTTACCTCATCGTCTCGCCATGGAAAATGTATTTGTATTAATAATGTATGTGAATGTGTCATAATGTAATTTCAGAAGAGAAACAATCAATTGATATTCACAAGAGACGTACCTTGACATAGCCTTGAATCCCTCGCATTGTCCGTGGGATTGTTTTCACTCTTTTTTTACAAGTGTTATCCACTAAATTTGAAAATAAAAAATACCACCCTTTTAAATTATGTGTGTATCAAAACAAACTAAGAACATATTTATGGAAAAACAATACTTTTATTATTTTTATGCTAGTGAGAACCAAAACAGTATGGAAATAAATGAGGGAAAACTGGATCCTACCACGCGATTTCTCGGCCAATAAAAATGTAGCGTTAAACCTTGTTGGAAGTCGCATAAGAAATATAACTTCAAAAAACTTTCCCTAGAAGTTTGACGCAATATTTACGGGATATCTTGTATATAAAAAAATTTTTTAAAAAATATTTATTGAATCTGTTTATTTAAAGCAAATAGAATCATTTAAATAGAATTCATAAAATACATTTAATATTTTCAGTTCAAACTAAAACTTTTCATTAATATTTTAGCAAGAAGATGTAACTTACGCAGAATTGGCTTTACCCTTGGACCAACAGACTGCCGCCACGATGACAGTTCGAAGAAAAGATCCACCCACTGAGTACGCGAAGCTGGATCTTCAGCGACACATACACCCCTCTAAGTGTGGTGCTTCTGAAGAAGATGAAGAAATCAGTTGCACCTCTTGTGACACTCCCCTAATGAAGAACAAGAGGGAAAGTGCTGTCTGAAAGCTGGAGAACTACTTACAAATACCGAATCTATCAAAAATTAAGTAAATTTTCTCTGCAAGGTGGTTCGAAAAACAGCCCTTGCAAAGTGCAAGCCAACGTAAAACATGAAGTGCCGAATTTAGATATTTGTCTCCTTGCAAAAGGTCCTTCTCAAATAAAAATCTGAGCTTCTGTGGACCTTTAAATCCTTTGGTCAACAACAGACATACAATCGTGGCACCAATCCGCCTTGTTAAGAAGTCCTCGACTGTGTCTGATTGCAGATAAGACCGAATAAGTCAAAAGCTGCAAACTTCGGCTATTTAGTGTCGAGGAGCTTTAGAATCTGAAGTTGAAAGGTGAAAGAGCTTTTTAATCATCATGTTTGATGCATATCTGTGAGTTGTTTCAGATTAGATCGACTTTTTTTAAGGTTAAGGTTTCCGGATAAAGATTTTTTTTAAGACTCAAACATTCCTGACAAAATGGTACATTACGTTCCAGTTTCATTAATATTTTCAACTCCTCTCCAGAATTTTTGTTTTTCTTGAGTGGTTGATTAACCAAAATGCACCACATTGATTATTTTAAAAATTTTAAGATATTATTTTTTCTTGATGATACATCAGATTCAGTGACTTCATAATCAGTGATATGAGTTCTTTCTAAATGAAAGAAACTGGAAATTCCTGACACTATTTATTTATAAAAGTGGTGTATTTTTATAGAAGCTATGGTAATGAGCTCAGCCAAAACCTCTCAAAGTGTACCAGTTATACCGGCTGATACACGTTACCAGATCTCACTGGGGATGAAGAAACAACCCGGTGGATTTTTTATATTAAATCTTCATTCTCATTTTCTTTCCTTATCTTTAAAGTCAAATTCTATGTGTTTTTTGCGCTGGATTTTTGTAAAGCAAACATCTTTCTATAACAAACTAGCAAAATGTGTTGCAGCAGCTTATTTTGCGAGCACATGCATTAAATGAAAGCACACTTTGAGTTTGTTTTAAACATTTAATTTTCGTTATTTCAATCTAGTCGTCGTGGAGCATGTTGTTAAAGTATGCCTCCTTGTACTTACAGAAAAAAAACAAAGAATTTTCTTGTATAAATATGTGTAAATTCGAAAATCCTGTGATTCTAGTTAAATTAAATAATTGAGATTTATAAATACGAATTCACTCGAGTCTTTTCACAATGACTGAGATGCAAAGTACGAGAGTCAGTAAGTCTACAAGTAATATTAGAGAGTTTTTTTTTCTCACATTATTGAATAATTTTGTTAAAAAAAAATTTGAAAATATGTAAATAAGATGATTTGTAAAAACCATTCCAAACACTACAATTGTTGAGTATGACAATCGATGAAGCACATTAGGTATATTCTCTTTCTTTTGTTTCAGATATTTAATTTTATTTCAATATCTGATTTTTTTTACACAGTATAAGTCATTTCTTTTCACAATGTGAAAGTTAAAAATTGATTGCGAGATCTATAAATTGTAGCATGTAAGAACGACAGAGGCTCAAATGACTATGTTCATAAGAATATTGTTGATGTCCTATTGTGAATCTAACACGTTTTTTAAATAAATAGAAAAATAAAAAAATGAATATTCCGTTTCCTGCTGTGTGTATTTTTTTGTAGTTGTTGTTGCTTTTTATGTTTCGTGTCTTGGACAACTGGTATTTGTGTTGTATTTTAGTAGTATTTTAAAAATGAAAGCTTTTTTCTTTTTTTTTATATTTCATCTAATTCAAGCTTTATAAGACAATGTACAAAATAAATAAATAAAAAGAAACAGAATGTCTTAATAACTTTTGAACTTATAATCAAATTGCTGTTGTTGTTTCTAATGGCACTTGGGCAAGTCATGCTCGCTAGCCATTGGCCTAGCAAATTTAGTCAAAAAGATGCACCTCTTATGCACAAGAGAAAACTGCAATGCTAAAAGCATGTTTTAGCTCAGAACCCCCTCGGAGAGATTGCATCACCACTACTACTTCCACAATTTAGACATATATCTGAAAGGAAAGGACATTTTTTCCAGACATCTGTGCCCATGGTACTACTCAGCGACCGACTGTAGAACTGACTTTAAATAACGTAGGTACTCACTGAGTTTCAGCAGTGTAGCTGTAGAAGGTCGAACCCCTGCCACTCCAGTAAAGGTGATTTTGTACAGTTGATATTTTAAGTTAAAAAAACAGAAACAAAGATGCATTTTCTGTAAATATTTTTTAAGGGAATTTGGATTTATGGATCCTGAAAATATGAGTAGGGGAAAACCTCATCATGAAAACTATGGAACAACTAGTTCATACAGAAGAACTAACAAGCACGAACCCCTTAACGATATTTTGCAAACTAGGAACATCTGAAGAAATATTTAAGCTAATCCAAAAGATTTTGTATACAATTGTAAAACTATTTTCTTTATAAATGTAATTTCACACACAATTTATATTTTAACTCTATTTATTTTTTTATGATTTAATTTAAATACAATAAAAACATTTCAGAATTGTAAGGTATACTTGCTACAATTTATTATCTATTTCTAAATGAAAAAATCTAAGCGTTGAATGAAACTAAGCGATTAATTTTTGAACAGTAAAACTACAAATAAATTTGATTTTTTTGAATTCAACAATCATTATTGAATTAATTGATTAAAATAATTGATAAATAAAAATTATTTTTACGTGGAATCATGTTTGAAAAACGAATATGAGTTCTCTAACTGTGCGCAAAAATGTTAGATTCGCTTAATGAGGTATAATCTTATAAAATATGAACGATTTATCGGATTCTAGAGTCATTTTAAAATACACTAAAAGTGAAATTACCTTTAAGAGGTTTAACTTTTCGACCACTTTTATTTGATCAGACCATGAAAAGGCATCCGATTAAGAAATGACAGCTAAATGAAAAATTCAATTTTTTTAAACAAACATTAGTAACAATTTTACCGCATTAGAAGTTGTTTTATACTGTGCTTTTTTTTAATTGGCGCAATTTTCGAATTATTAATTAATGGAACTAACAGTTTTATACAAAATTTCCTTTCAAACGGATAGTATTGACAACATAATGCAGAACAAAGAACGCAGTGTAAGCATTAATCAAACATTTTGAAAACAATGAATTTTATAAAACGGTACCCAGACAGAGTTAGATATAAATATTCAATGTTTATAGATTAATCTTTTCATTTTTAAATTGTATAATATTTACTTAAAAATAATTTAAATAACTTCTTGATATCTTGATACATTATAAATCGTAATTCTTTAATTATATACAATTTTTTTTAAAAAAAATTCTGTATTAAGTTATTTAATTGTAATGCAAGGGAACAGAAAACAAAATTAATATACAAACTAACAGAAATCAAGCTAGATTTTAATAAATCAAAAATTTCTTTTTAAAAAAAGTATAAACATAATTATTTATGCTTTAACTACTTTCTAATTCCGAATTTTATTTCTTGATTTGAAGCGTGTCATAAATTTGTTATTTTAAATATCTTAGAAAACGTATTTGAAAATGCATTTGGAATCTTCTATTTCAACTTTTAAAGAATATTGAATACAAGAATATATTTGAAAACTTAGTTTACATAACATAGCACAATTGGTTTTGTATCCATTAATTAAAAAATGCGCCTGGAAGGGAAATTAATTAGCATGTAAGGAAAAAAAAAACCTTATAAAAAACAGATTTTTAAGAATTACAATTCCCAATTTCCAATCCCCACTACTTATAGTTCCAAATTAAATAATTACTTTAAACAACAAAAATTTAAACTAATTCCTTTCATCAACAGGTACTTTATTTTATAACTAAGCTATTTCGATACTGTATTTAATTAAGATTCCAAGAACTATAAACATTTTGTTCTAAAAATTCATCTTTCTTGAAAAAAGTTTGTTTCTAAATTAATTAAAGTTCATAAACATGAGGCCCTGCCATATAAGAAAATATACAACACAGTACCTTTAAAATAAGTACCAATTGGGTACTTGCAATTAAAATAAAGTCAAGTGAATATGCCTAACAATGTGATTTAAATCAGATTTAATTGGATACATCTAAGTGACGCCCCGTGTTCTGATTGGCTTCTGAATCGATAAACACCACGATTTACCAACGATGATATCACTTGCAGGCATCCAGTTATTTACCACGTGCTACAATATGTGTAGAAAATTAACACAGGGTCGTGAAATATTTCACTTCAATTAAAAGGACATGCAGAATTTTTTTTACCCTTTCTTTTTCACTTTTTTTTTTATATTCTATGATATATCAAACTTTATAGTCATTTGTGAAATTGGCGATAATAAATAATTAATTATAACGAATGCAGCAAACGTTAAATTTCTATATTTAATTTATTTTTCTAAATCGTGGATAATTTTTGAGAAACTCTGAATTCTGAATTAGTAATAACACTAAGGTTAGTTTTACAATCACTCAAATTAAACGAGGGGGGAACATATTAATTATAAAGCCTCAAAAGCTTCAGATTTATACGCAATCATTCTGAATTCCGATTTGAATTTTATCTTATGAAAATGCAGAAAACCCTAACATAAATTGTGAAAGAGTAGTCAAAAAATTATTTATGCAAGCATTAGGGTTACGTAATATAATTATATGACTTATGTTACATCCCCAACATGCAAACGTAACACATTACAAGTAATTTAAATTGCATAAATATATGTAAAAGACATACACCATTTTAAATAAATTAACCACATTAACAAAAGATTTTTAGCCTGCGGAGTATTTAAACTATCTTCATAAATCATGTTCTCTTGATGAATATGCTAAATTAATTTACCATGAAACTACTCTAAAATGCTACGCGTGTTGTTTTCTAAATCTGGCGCATAAGGAGATTATATGGATAGAAGAGAGCGATGGGAATACATTAAGAATTTCTTCTCTTAAATCCATTTAAAAACTACAAGGAATTTTATTTCTATCATCTTCAGTTATATCTTCGCACTATTTTGTTTTGTCTTATGCTGATTTATATTGCATTGTTGACTAAGTTATTTTAATATTTATGTCAGTGGTTCCCAATTACTTTTCGGTTATGGAACCCTAAACAGCCGAGTTTTTTTGGCAGAACCCAATCAGCTGTGGATATGCTACAAAAAAGAAACTAATTTGAAAATATTTGTATTGAAAGAAAGAAATTTATTAATTTATTTTATCAATAACAGTCTTAAAATTATGTTCCATACTAGGCAGTTGATTTTATTGTTCTGCAACGACGTTTTGACTACAGTTTTGGCGTATACGTAAGTCTAATTGAATAAAATAAGCAGAATTATGGTTTTTGAAAACGATTTCCTTTAAACTGATAGAATGCTAATCGAAAAAAAAAATTTTTTTTTTTTCATTCTTGAATTCTATTATTTTATTTTTAATTTTAAAGTTAAATGAAAAATACTTATTCTCGAATACAATGGGAAATAATTTTGGATTTTTTCTTTTCTCTTTTCATTGAATAATTTCATAAACATAACCAAAGGATTAAATAAATTGAATAAGCCAATTAAATTATTCTAAAATAATTATTGGTTAAAGTAAAAAGCCCTAACTCACAGATCCCCTGTGAATTTCCCACGGAATCCTAGGCATCCGCAGATCATCTTTTGGGAACAGCTGATTCAGGTGGCTCCACTTAATATATAATCCGCGTGGTGTGAATGTACTGTAATGCTTATGAAAATTCGAAATCAAGAATACGTGTTAAAACCACTTAATAAGTATTTACTTTCTATCCTATAGTTCTGTTTTATATCCGGAACTGCATGAACACTACTTTCTGTTTCATGGGTATAAATTTAACAGCTTTGTTTGCTTTATATCCGTAAAACAGAATTTTTTGAATTTTCCCAGATAACATTGTAAGGTTGATTTTTAATGTAGCCGCAAATTTTATCACAAAATCGCAAGCAAGTTTAGAAATGAATAGCAAATAAACCATACAAGCGTGAAACAATGTTAAATTTAACTATGCCATTTTATGCACAATGCTTGCTCAGACAGACCTTTTACATCAAGATTGAATCTAAAAGCACCGCACATTATCATTAAAATCATTTTACGTAGGAGAACATTAATTGAAAGATTGTCCAAAAGCAAGCTAAAAAAACAAACATATTTTTTGCATAGGTTCATCCATGCCATTATTTAAGTTTTAGAAAAAAAAATATTGGTATTGTAACATTTTTGCTTCTTAGCAATAATGATTAACCAGTCTATCTTAATGCGTAAATCACAAACGACATTGCATATTCAAGGTCGCGAAATCAAAGAATGATATAGTTTAATTTCGTGTTTATTTGAAAAAGGTAAGCAAGCATCCATTAGATATTCGATTGAAAGAATTCTCAGTTTCCCTTTTAAAAAACGAAATGAAAATAAATTTTAACATCAAATAGCAGTTAAAATACACAAGACAATAAGAGAGATAAAATAAGCGAAAGAGTTAGCAAATATTTGCAAATAAGTTTCAAAAATTCAATCTTGAAATATCTTTATTCTATATAATTCAGTAGTTTTCCTTTTTTTTACGTACTGATAAATATTGACATAG